ATCACGTCATTCATTATTAGAGGACTTATTATTGATAGATAGAAAATAATATTTGATGTTTTTGGATACCAAATGCGCTTGCTGGGTTTATGAATTGTTATTTCTGTTATGAATATGATTGTAGTGTGCAATGAGTTTTTGACATTTTCTGTTGAACTATTATAATAACTTCTGAGTTGTTTCTACGTAGTTGTAAGTAACATTGTTTTTACACAGTTAATACAGCAGTACTGCTGCAAAAATAAATTCAGTTGTGGTAATACTGCATTGTTTTTACAAAGCAAAATTCTGAGTTTTCTTCAAAAAAAAAAAAAAAATTGTGCAGTCGGTAGTAAATAGATTACGTGGCAAGTATGAGTAATTTTTTTGTAACACTCGGGCCTTGAACATTGGCGATTTTTGAATAATATTGAATTTTGAGAAAATATTGGTTAAAATTCCATAAATTGGTGGGAGAATGTTGGATTTCAGATGACGTGGAGATAATTTATGAATATTTTCATTTAATTTTATTTAGTTGATTATTATTATTTTTTTTTTTTAGTTTTGTTTCTTGCATGTGGCAATCAAAAGATGTGGAATATTTAAAGGTTTGAAGTTTTGAACGAAAGTTGTCAATTCTTCAAATGATATAAATTTTGTGCATTCCGTGTTATGATATCATAATATTATAGATCGAGTTATATGTAGTCCCAATGCTGCATATCCTTCAGTAAATGTGTTATTTTTTGTTCCTAGTAATTTATTGAGGAGACGTATTTACTTCGGGAATTGAATTTACTACAATTGAATGTGTTAATAATAAGATAGCAGAACTTAACTTAGAAAAACACTTCCACGAAAATTTCCCTTCAACGAAAATTTCCCTTCAAAAGATCTTGAAACTGGAAATAATCACTGGCAGAAAGCTATTGAAATCGAAGGCGAAATTAGCGTTTTAGAAATCCTTCTTAAGGAACTGAAAAAAACCAAAAAGTTGAAAGTACAAGTTGATACTATAATTAAACCAAAATCATCCGCGGAAAAAACGGGAAATAAGGTAATAAAAGATTCTTATGCTAAAGCTAGCAAGAAGGGCAAAAAATGAAACATCGCTGACAGTGATAGATTTATATCACCCAGAAATTCGGTCAAAAGACCTCTTGAAACTACTACCAACGAATTAGATTATTCTAATAAATATGAAAAACTTGATCAGGATGATCAAATGGAAGGAGATCCAGTCGAAATCATTCCAGAAAAACGTAAAAAGCACGTCCCACCCATCGTGATGGACGATTTCTCAGGCGACTGGGAAGCAATTAAACTCGAACTCGAGAAAAATAATATCACCGATTATTATGGTGAAATCAAAGGAGGCTCACTGACTGTCAAAGTCCACGATGATGAGCAATACCGCTTCATCACTAGTTACCTCTCAGGAATAGGCATACAATTTCATAGTTTTAAACCAAATAATAAAGGGCCTATGAAAGCTGTGATTAAAAAACTCCCAAATAATACCAATCCGGAACTAATCTTAAAAGAATTGCAGGAAAATCAAATTCCAGCTGAAAAAATAATACAACTCACCTCCTTTAGGAACGGAAAAAGTTAATATCCCAATTTTCGTTGTGGATCTTAAAAGATGCCCTGAGGGGAAGAAGATATATAATTTAAAAACCCTACGAAGATTAAATGTTCTTATTACTGGCTACAAAGCAAAGAAAGAACCCGTGAGTGCCACAAGTGCCAACGGTATGGGCACTTACGGGTTATGCCACTATAAACCGCGTTGTATGAAGTGCGGTCAGTTTCACGAAACTTATACATGTAAACAGAAGAAAGAAGACGGTTTACCGGCTATGTGTGCCCTTTGCGGCGATTTGCATGTTTCTTCTTACAAAGGTTGTAAGAAGCACCCTAACATAAAGAAAGCTATTGAAGCTGCCAAGAAGAGGAAAAATCAGGAAAATACTCCCAGCAACAACTTCAAGCTAAATCAAGAAGAATTCCCGGTCTAAGCACCGACGAAATCGAAGAAGAAGCACCAAACTGGACTAAGGAAGAGAGTAACAGTCCCTCATTTTTTAAATGGATGAAAACACATACGAAAAAAGCAAAAGAATTTCTCCTAAGTTTCAAGAAATCGAAAACGATGATGGAGAAACTAGAAATAGGCATAGCCGCCCTTGAATACTTCTCAAATACCGAATTTGAATTTTAAACAAGTGCAGAGTGCACAGCAAGCGAAACATTAAGGGTTGTAAACAGTCATTAACTTAGGACACGTTCTGTAAATATGTAATAGTATTTAATCAAGATTTTCTTCTATTCGAGTTATTCTTCTATGTTTTTCGTGTGGACTTTAATACTCTGTGTCACATGACCAGCTTTACGCTCACTTATTGGCGCGGGATCAACCACGTTCTTAAGTTTTTTATTTTTTACTTATTTCTCACTATATTTAATTGTAATTTTGTATTTTTCCACGATTTTAGGGATTGTTATTTAGTGGAAAATACTTCTATTTAAGAAGCATTATTTTTCACACATTTAGAAGCTTCTTCGTTACTTTACCTGACTCGAGTGCCAGGACCAACTAGTACTCTGCTCTTTGTCACGTACCTACCGCAAGCTCTGCCTCCACTATTTACCTTGACTTTTAAAGACTTGGTCAGCAATTTCATGTCTCTGCATTCTTTTTTCACCTCTGTGCTTGATACACTGGTTTCGTGCATCTCTGATTTTTCAAAACCAAGCAATTGTTACTAGATTGAAAATTCAACATACTGGTAAAAGTTCTTCAGTAGCTATAGACCTGTTGTAACGTCCAAATTGCAGAACGAAAGTTGTTATGTGTTGAATTTTACGACGATAGTAACTTGAATGTTTTAATGAGTTTGTAGTGTCCACGCGGTTTAACCTCTATTTGGACACGGGAGTAGCAAGAAACTACACAGAAGAAGGGTTCAAACCCTTTATTAACTCTTTAAAATTTGCACTGCGTCAACTTGACGCTGACAAACTTTGCCTCTACTTGGGCGGTAAGTAAAAAGCAGGTAATCGAAAATCAGCAGGTAATCAAAAAAAAGTTGAAATGTTTAACAAGTGCTAAACTAATCTACAGGGCTTAGCGAGATACTGACTTCGACCCCCTCTATAACTAGTGGCAGCAGATAAATGTATTTAAGCCACTTGAACCAGCAATCAGCAATTGTTCCTACAGCAGAAACGGCTGCTCGAGCCCAACTCTCTTACTCTCCTTCTAAAACCTCGGTTTTTAAACTTTCCTCCTCAAAATAGAATTTACATTCACGTCACACGCGTTACAAAAATTTAACTATTCTGGCACTGACAATTATGGGAATGAAGGCTTATAGAAAAATCTGAACTAAAATTTAAATTGTTAGTTACACTTAAATATAAATCCCTACAGTTGCCGGTGCCAGAATTTAGCAGACTTGGATAAAGTTCCTTAAAGACCTGTTACAAACTGTTAAATTCTAGAAAAACAACCCTGAGCCGCGTTTACATACAAGAACTAAACTTTGATTTAAATTATAATACAAATAATTCGTTTTTTTCTCGTTGTAGACTCCATAGTTCCTGCTCATTACGGTGCTGAATCTTGTTCTGGAAGGAATAACTATGAATACATGTTTCTGAACATACAATAAAGAACACGGTACTTTTCCGTTTCGCCGGCGCAAATCTCGCCAAGAAGACTTTTTTGGCGACAACATACAGTATACACATAAAAAATATTTAAAATATTTTAGTTCTAAGAATTCTTTTTTAAAGGCATAAACATTTTAATATCGCTTAAAATTTTTATAAAAATCCAATAAATAAAGACAATAAATTTGTAAAAAGACATTAATTTAAGAATTTACTATGCTTTCATGGTTCAACATCCTGATTCGCCGGTTCATATCACGTGACCCCAAGCGATCTCATCTCACGTAAACTACTCTACAAAAATCTAATGCTCTCAGTAATTACCTACATTAATTTCAAGCTAAATCTTAATTTGGAACACAAGTTTAAATCCAAGCAATATTTCAATGCGTACTAATAGCTTCCTCAGAAATTATGTAAAACTGCAGTGCTTTACTTCGCTAATGCATTCTCATTAGAATTGATGAATTTAACCCTTGACTTTACCTTTTCTATATTTTCGGCCTCGGGTAAGCGCTGTGATTGCATCCTAATTGACTTAATTACCGAAAATGGCCTTAGATATAAAACTGAACTGACTATAAGCTATCTGATAAAACTTCTATGTAATTATATGCCGGTATTGAAAGAAACAATCAATCTGATAAGAAAAAGCTGCGACTTGTTTTGAAAATGAGGCGTAAAAGGTTACCAGAGAGATATTCCGTTTGGCATCGGTTGTACCATTCTTGGCGACTTTATCGCTTGCGACGGCAAAACGGAAAAGTACCAAGAACACTTTGCATTTACAAGCATTGAACTTTTTCTCGAGTTTCTAACTCTTTCGACTTTAAAGTAATTTTCTTAAGTTTACCAAACATTGCAGTTTTTTAAGGGACACAAGTATTTGTCCATATCCATGCTTTATTTTAGCTTAGTTCCCTCCTGGCTTTTGAAAACATGCAAGCTTTCGCTCAGAAACGAATGATTTAATTTGACTAAAATTTCCTGAATTCACGATTTTCTTTCATTTAACTTTTACACTTTAACTTTTAAACGTATTTCGAAACTTTCTACACTACATAATATTCTAATTTCTTTAGAATTTAATATGCATTTACAGTTACTTTACCTTAGCACAATATATATTTTCACATTTTAGAATCACATACTTTTAGTATACTTGTAACGAAAATATCAAAAAATCAGAACTACGCCGAGACTACCCGTCAACAGTTGTTCTGCGCAAGTTCTTAATATACGTATATACACCTTAATAATAATTAGACAGAGTGAGTCTGCTATTAGAATAGCTGTTTACAATTTCAATATTTACAGAAAAAGAAATAAATCTTATCTACTTGAATTCTGCACATGCTTCTTGACGAATAAACACTTTCATTAATACTTGACATCAGCATTTTCACAGTTTCTTTGCAGTAAAGCAGGAACTAGGATATTATTCAATAAACAGAACACAAATACAATATAATAATTCAATTGATATCAACATTAAATTCATAGAACACTTCTCTCACTAAGCAAACATGGATCAGAACGTGCATAGCAACGCCGAAAACTGATGCCATCCACAAAAAAAGGTATATAAAACTCGCGTCATTAAAACATTAATACATTAAAAGTCTCGTGTTCATTCAATAACGTTATTCATAAAACAGTCTCGTGGATATCTTCTGAAGTTTATTGACGGCATTACGTAACATTCTCCCATCTTGATTTGCCACCTTCGAGGTAAATCAACAAAGTTCGAAAGTTCAAAAGCCCAGTCTCTTAGGTATCTTGATTACTCTGCCGCTTCTGTCCGAGGAGCTGCTGAAACATCCTTCTGAATTGGAATGTCATTCTGTGATGTTGCTGATGCGTCATTAGTAGGATGTTGATCTGGTATAATGGGATTCCCAGAAGAATTAACTTCTAGAGGGTAAATCTTTTGGACTGGACGAACGAGATGACCAAGTGGAGTTTTGACTTTGACGACTCTCACATGGCCCTCGTCTCTCCCTGGATACAGTTCTTCAATCAACTGCAAGTGGCCAATTAAGTCTCTTCTGGTTTTCAGAACCACCAAGGACCACATATCCAACTTTGAAAATTTTGTCAGATGTCCCAGCTTTTTGAACCAGCTGACCTAAATATTCTTTCCTGGAATCGTCGTCTGAATTCTTCACGCAGTTCTTGGCAATAACGTTCTCTCTTTACCAGTTTGTTCCTATCCAAATGATCAAGATCAGCCGTTCCAATATCTTTTACATCTTGGAGAAAGTTGGATGGTGTTAGAGGCCTCAACTCATCTGCATCGTTGGAGATGTATGTTAACGGGTGGTTGTTAACGGTGGCTTCTACGTCGCAAAGAACTGTGAGCAGTTCCTCATACGTAACAGACGACTTAGCAAGAACTCGAACAAGTAGCTTTTTCACTATGCGAATTAGTCTCTCTTACCAACCGCCCCACCACGCTGCGGTTGGGGGAATGAATTTCCAGTTAATTGGATTTAGAGTTTCAAGAGCAGCTATCTTTTGCCACTCAGTTTGGTTCAATGCACCAGAAGCACCGATAAGTTCGTGCCGTTGTCACTATAGATAACTGTCGGATGGCCTCATCGAGCGATGAATCTTCTCAACGCGAGTGCACAGCAATCTGCACTTAAGGAGGTCACGATCTTCAAATGTATTGCTCTGTCTATAGGTAAATGAATAGGTATGGTTGAAGGTGACTTTGTTGTGAATCTCTTGTAGGTAATGCATTTCTTGATTATTGATCTAATTGTTTGTCTAGCTGAAATAATCCAATATTCTTCTCTAATCATTGACATGAGCATTTGAACACCGGCATGAGAATTCTTTTTATGGTACTCGAGCACTAGACTGCACAATATGATGCTTTGACGGAAGTAGAATTGGATATTTAAATCAAAATTCATCATCTCTTGCGAGAATCTTTGCTTTCACTCTTATCAGTTCTATTTCATCTCTGATGACTGAAAGACCATTTATTACATCTTCAGTCTGAGAAAAACTTTCACGCTGAACTAGTAGACTCAAAGTGTTTTTTGAATCTTTTAACTCGGCTGCAGACAAGAATTTTGCTCTATTTACAGATTTTGCCTGACAGCTTCTAATAAATCTTAGAACCCATGCTAAAGTTCTTACAATTGCTGAACATTTAAAATATTTTTCATACCACTTAGATGTATCAGTACTCACACTAACGTTTAATACTACAGTTTTCTCTCTGACTTCTGAAGAAATTAATACCTCGTTGGGTTTAATTTCAAGGCGTGGCCAATTATCCTTCGGATTCTTTAACCAGATAGGACCCTCCCACCATGAATTCTTTAGAATTTGATGAGGGGTACAACCACGAAATGGTATATCAGCTGGATTTAACTGGCTTGGCACGTAAGACCACTGATTTTCCTCTGAAAGTGCACAAATCTCTCTGACACGATTTCCTACAAAAGTTCCCCATTGATCATTGCGCTTGATCCATGACAGAGCTGTGGTGGAATCAGACCAGTAATGTTTTTCAATTTCGTTTAAGGATAATGCCTCTACAACATACTTCGCTAGACGTACTCCTAAAACACAGGCTAAAAGTTTAAGACGTGGTATTGTCATCTTTTTTAAAGGTGCAACACGAGATTTTGCGATCAGAAAATTTACACATGTGTCACGACTGTTTTCGCAACATAAGAAAATCACGGTCGCGTAAGCTCTCTGGCTCGAGTCACAAAAAGCATGCAAAGTCCAAGTTTGTTTGTTTCCATATCCTGTTCTGCGGGATATTTTCAAATCTGATAAGATCTGTAATTCACAGTATCATTTCAAAAATTTTTGTTTGACCTCTTCTGACAGTGGAGAATCCGAATCTGCTTTAATAGACCAAACTTCTTGAATCACTAACTTAGCCGGGAATAATACAGGAGCTAAGAACCTAGCGGATCGAAAATCCCTTGTGTTAAAGACAAAATCTCTCTTTTTGACAGGTTGTCTAGATTTCGTACAGGCTTAATATGAACAGAAAGGCTATCATGCGTTCTATCCCATAGAATACCCAAGACTGAAATCTGATTCTTAGAAAGGGATTCCGAATTATCATTCCTCGAAATTTTATTAACGTCGTTTATAGGACCGAATGTCCACATCCGTAGGTCCATCTTAGCTTTTGCCAAAATGTCAATTAATTTGTTCATAAAATCTTTCAACACTTCTTCTGTATCAAGAGACGTGACACAATTATCGACATAAAAAGAATTTCGAAGCTTTTCTGCTACGTGACTTTGCTCTTTATTTTTACCTAAGGAGCCTAAAAAATTTTCACATGCATTATCTTCTTCCGCAGTCTTTGTAGAATTACTGCTGGAATTTGAAATTCTTATTGTCTCTAAGTTCCAAAGAACGGATACGTTTAGGTCCCAAAACGTCAGACATACATTCAGAGTAGGTATACCACAACTTTGTGGTTCGGAATGCTCCTTATGTCGACCAAAAACAGTCCATCCTAATGTAGTGTCAACTGCAGTCAAACCTCCATCGAGCTGTTTGACTTTCCCTGTAAGAATTGTACCGTAAATGTCACTATATATTAGCATCTCTATCTTCGGACAACCTGTTCCTATGTCTGAAAGCCATATCGTTTTACACTTAAGTTCTTTTAAAATAGGGCCCTTAGGTACACGTGCTATATTTCCACATATAGCTTTCTGATCCAAGAACGCAAATTCCATTTCTTTTCTCATATAAGGATTGAGAGAGCGTAGCTTGATCCGATACATTTTATGTACGTTCGGTTCAGTTTTAACCCCTCCAAAAAGCGTGTGAGCTACAGTTTCCTCTGCATGTACCGTAGACTTCAAAATGTATGATTTTTGTGATCCGCAATCGACAAGCGCTCGTACTTTTCTTCTGCCTGATTTTCCTAACACATTGACTTTAATTGTCATGAGAGCTACCTCTGTGGAATACATCTGTCCCGCCGTAGTTGCCTGAATGGTGTCTGGCTTTGTTGCCTTTGAGTTTCCTGCATCTGCCAATCTGGGCAGAGAGAAATTGTGTGAGACCTACCACACACATAGCAACGAGCAAACTGTTTACACGACTTAGCAACATGTCCAAGCGAAAGGCACTTTAGGCAACACCTCTTAAGACTAATTTTATTCTTTTTCTCATCTAATGACAAAGAGCGTGCTTCGAAACAGTCCTTACTATCATGCAGTTTATCGCAAAATACAGTTATTCTCTTTTGTCGTAAGGAAACCTGCCGCCGTAGGGACATTCATTAACTGTTTCGATTTAAATTTCCTTTTAAATCCCTTTTCGATTTATTGCAATACTTGTCATTTTGCCCAAAAATTTCAAATCCACTCCTCGCTAACTTAAGTCTTTCCTCCCCTTCCACTTCGCATCTTAAAAATTTCATCAACTTAGTTAGGCTAGAAATATTCTGACTTTCCTTTACTTCTCCAAAAAGCGGGCTTCTTAGCCAAGCTCTGAGGACTTCCTCCGAGAGACATGATTCTACCATGGGATATAACCAACAAGCATTGCTTTCCGTTTTAATATCTAAGGATTCGAGAGCTCTTAGTTGTGCTTCAATCTTATCAAATAATTGCGGCAATTTTTCACTACTGCCTGTCTTAACATTCGTTACAATCCACTTTACGTATACCACTTTCTTACGTATACCTTAATTAATAAATCATGATTCCCAAAACGTTCCTTAAGAGCACTAATAGCTTTTGAATAATGTTTCGCACACATTGGGTAACTGTCAATAAAGTCTCTAGCGCGCGTCCCTTGTTTCATGCTTTGCACAAGATACTGAAATTTGTCACTTTCGTGCAAATCAGGGTCCTTGTGTAATTTTTCGAACTGAGACCAAAACGGTAGCCAGTTCTGTAACTCTCCATCGAACTTTTGAAGCTCTATTTTCGGGAGCTTTAACGATCTAGTATTACGAGGTGAATTACTAGAAACACTACCTTGCGACCTAGTTTCTAAATTTATCTGTTCTAAGGCACCTAACTTCTCACTAACTAAGCGAGAAATGATAATAAATTCATCTTTATAAATATCCCAGCTTTCCATTTCATCGTTAACTTTTTCAGGCGTTACATCAGTCGAAATTATAAAATTCAAAATCTGCTCGTTAAGTTCCACAATATCTTTCTGTAACATTTGCAACTTTGTAAATTTATCTTTAATTATACCTGCTGAAAAAGCATCCTTACCAATTTCGCTTTTCGAAACATAAATTAGTAAAGGAAGAATGCAATCCTCTGCGTTTTGCAGTTAAAGGATTCATAATAAAACGATAAATGAAACCAGCTTTAATTCGCAAAATACCATTCAACAAAATAATTCTAACAGAAATCTCACTGCATCCTGTCGCGGACGCCACTTGTAAGGAAAATACCAAAAAATCAGAACTACGCCGAGACTACCCGTCAACAGTTGTTCTGCACAGGTTCTTAATATACGTATATAAACCTTAATAATAAATAGACTCAGTGTGTCTACTATTAGAATATCTGTTTACAATGTCAATATTTATAGAAAAAGAAATAAATCTTATCTACTTGAATTCTGCACATGCTTCTTGACGAATAAACACATTTATTAATACTTAACATCGGCATTTTCACAGTTTCTTTGCAGTAAAGCAGGAACTAGGATATTATTCAATAAACAGAACACAAATACAATATAATAATTCGATTCATATCAACATTAAATTCATTCACTATGCAGACACGGAACAGAATGTGCATAGCAATGCCGAAAACTGATGCCATCCACAAAAAAAGGTACATAAAACTCGCGTCATTAAAACATTAATACATTAAAAGTCTCGTGTTCATTTAATAACGTTATTCATAAAACAGTCTCGTGGATATCTTCTGAAGTTTATTGACGGCATTACGTAACAATGCTAGAGAATAAAATGAGAGAAAAAAAATGTTACTTGACTTCTTTCTTCTAGCCAAAAGGGCGAACCTAAAACATATTTTCATTAAGAAGTATAAATACGAAGTTGCTTGTATACGGCCAGAGCTTTTGGCGTGTCTAAAATAAACAGTATTTCGACAAACAAAACGTAAACTATTCTTTGCAATAACATTAAATTTTTACAATTTATCTTTGTGCTTTCGCCAAATAAAACTGAACTAACTTTAGTTTTTCACAGAGGCAATTAACTTGAACATAAAACTTCGTACTAAAAGATTAACCTGTAATTTTACAGACAGATAGGATATTTATTGAAAATTCACTTATCTTTTGTGTTTTGTTGACTGGTACTCCATCATTCTTTTATTACAGAATTGATTCTATGTAGGTTTGCTCACACTTGCAATCCGAAGTCTTTGTTTTCGCTCCAGAGGCTGGGGTCGATCCTTCCTTTTTTCTTCTCTATGCATCCGCTTTTTGAACTGAACTGTTGGTGGAGCTTGGTTTTTTCGTTTATTAGCAGGAACGTTGATCCTTGGAGCATATGTTGTAGAAGACTGTTGCATGGACATTCTTGGTTGCTTCGGGCCGTGTTGAGAGCCTTGCTGAACGGAGGTCTCTTTATTCTACCCAGAGGTGGTCTTGTCGATCTTTCAGTAAACCTTGGCTTCGCTGTCTTCTGTTGTTGTCTGCTGCGAGACCTTGTCCTGGCACGGCCATCCTTGTTCTTGGCTGGGGCCTTTCTTTTGACAGATTCTGTATTCTTAACTTTCTTCCTTGCTGGAGCTTCCATCTGTCTTGGCGTTCTTTTCTGTGGCAAATTTCGAGTTGTTTCCTGCCTTAACTCTTCTGTTCTTTTCTTTTTGTCAGGGGGTGGAAGCGCTGCTGGTATCGAAACCGTAGTTGTTACTACTGCTTCTTCTGTCTCGGAAGCCTGCAAAAAACTATTTAATATATCATAGACTTTCCGGTTATAATATTTTTTAACTAATACGGGCTGGCCTTTATTCTTTCGCCTGAATCTGAAGTGATATAAATGACTGCCTCGACAATCTGTTGCACGATGTATGGACCTTCAAACTTATGTGCAAATTTCGACACAAAATTTTCTGAAGCACTAGACAGGGTGAATTTTCTTTTTAGAACCTTATCCCCCACTTTGAAATCTGCTTCGCGGCGCTGGTTATTATAATATAACTTTTGCCGCTCTCTTGCCAAATCTGAATTTTTCAACGCTTCATCAATTAGTTTTTGGATATTCGCCTGCTTAAATTCAGGTTCCCGTTCTTGGACGAAAAATAATTTATCGAGTGGAGTTAGAATCTTTCTATCCAGAAATAATTCAGCGGGCGTTTTTCCCGTCGTGTCATGCTTGGCTGTTCTTAAAGCATATGCTAGTTTGTCGATGTAGCTATCCCCGCGCTTGTGGAAGTTTTTAACATACCGTTATAATAATTGGTAGAGTTCAGTTACCGTATCATAGCAATTTGAAATATAAACAATTTATTGTACTTATTTCTATCTATATCCGGTAGAGAATACATTGTAACGTCACAAGCTTAGTCCCACCCATTTACAGACGTCACTTATTCAGATTTAGTAGTAAAGACAGCACTTTGTTTTTACTTAGCTGATGCACGGTGTTTTTTTTTTTTTTTTTTTTGTTTTGTTTTGTTTTATAATTTAATCAATTGCATTTACTATTCTGTTTGGACATAGTAATCGATGCTCATCACTGTAAACAAACATTTGCTATTCTGTTTACGTTTAAAACTCGCTTCGCAGTGCTCTGATCTGACACGTGTATATATTTATTTTTCAATAATTATTTACAAAAATTATTCATTATACTATTTTATGCTGAATTAAATATAGGACTATGTTTTTACTCGCAAAGCTGTTGGACTTTGTTTTACTTATCTGGTATTTTATCATCTCATTTTACTATTCTATTTACATCAAATAACGGCGTTTTACTACTGCAAAACTTAAAAGTTGCTATTCTATTTACATTTAAAAATCACAGTCTAGTACTTTCATCGCCGCCAAAAAAAATTCGCCAAATTTTGAAGATCAAAATAGTCTGACGCCAACTTAGCCCGCTTATGGAATTTTAGCCAAAATCTTCTATCACAAGAAATGTGGAACAAGCATTCTATGGAAACAACTGCGTCTTAGAAAACCAGAACTCATTTTTTTGCACACTTAATTTTAGGCAAATAAAGAAAAAAACTATAGCATTGTAAAGTGCTTTAATATAAAGAAGAAATGCGCTCCGGTTGGAAATTCGAAATTAAGCAAACTCACTGTGACGTTGGTTTTATAGGAACTCTTTATGAATTTTGAGGAAGACATCACGGTTTTTCCCCCAAAGAACAAAAATATTTTTCTGCTTGGAAAAGAGGGTCATTTAGCTGTATCCCAGAAATTAAGATTGTAAGAAAAATCGAAGACCAAAATCAGAACTACGCCAAGACTACTCGTCAACGGTTGTTCTACACAGGGTCTTAATGTACGTATATAAACCTTAATAATAATTAGAGACAGTGAGTCTACTATTAGAATATATGTTTACAGTTTCAATATTTATAGAAAAAGAAATAAATCTTATCTACTTGAATTCTGCACATGCTTCTTGACGAAAAACAATTTTATTAATACTTGACATCAGCAGTTTCACAGTTTCCTTGAATTAAAGCAGGAATTCTCTTCTAGGCTATTATTCAATAAACAGAACAAAATACAATACATAATTCAATTCAATTCATATCAACATTAAATTTTATAGAACGCTAATATCACAAAGCAAACACGGATCAGAACGTGCATGGCAACTCCGAAAACTGATGCCATCCACATAAAAGGATACATAAAACTCCTGTCATTAAAACATTAATACATTAAAAGTCTCGTCTTCATTCAACAAAGTTATCATAAAACAAAGTCTCGTGGATATCTCCCGAAGTTTAATGATGGCATTACGTAACGAAGATACTTCTATTATCTTCCCTTTTTAGCCTAAATACACATTCATTGCATGTGCAAGTGAGAATATTTTATTTATTTTTGTTGTTGTATTTTATGTTAACAAGGATTATGCGCTTAAAAATATTTTTAGTTTTATAAATCAAATATAAAACATAATTTTTCAGTGGAACTAAATATGAGATTATTTCTCATTTTAAGTGCACAATAAAGCTTCTGTTTCGTGTGAAATAAAGAAATGAAATTATATTTATTCTTAAAAACGAAATAAATAATCTTACTTTTTCGCTTCATTAAAACTAAATAAAGAAAAGAAAATATATTTATTTGCCATTAGTATTATTCCATATTATTTTGATGAATTTCCAAACCTTATGGGCTATATGACATACATGTTCAACTAAATTAATTTGATAATGTCCCATAAAAGGTGGCTCATTTCACTGTAATGCATTTCTTTGAGTTTTTAAATAAAAGAAAAATTTACAGTTTCAATATTTATAGAAAATGTGAATATAGTTTAACAACAGGCACTTACTCAAGAAAGAAGAACAAGCCTTCCTAATGGTTGCAGTTACGTCTGAAGGCTGCATAGTTCTGCTGCACTAAATTTCATTTGATTAGGAACAGACAATTCGTTAGAAAGGATTAGATTATTTTATATACTCGGATATATTTTATATACTCGGATGTTTTCCCCATTTTTGAAAATTCTTACCTATTATTTATTGGTTAGTTTTAAATTTAAACAGGAATCTAAATTCATAAGATGTACGTAAATTGCTCAAAAGAAAACTTTATTTTCCTCTTCCGACATGTTCAGTATGTTACAACATACTAAATTTTATCTCCTTTTTCAGGCAAAGAATAGTACTGATGGAAATACTCAAATTTCCAGGAGGGGTGAGTATTTCTTTGAATGTAATCGTAAAGCTTAAGCTAATGTAGAAAAAATGATGTTATTAAATGAACATGCGCATTGGCTGGGAGAAAAGATCATACAAACATTTTCTAAAATTTAGCTTTATACATTAAACGGTTTTATGGAAAGTATATGCCTTTTATCTTGTATCACATAGACGCTGAAACAAAAGAATTGGGGCAGAATTAAAAAAATAACATTGTTAGCTATACAATGCAGCTTATAAAATGGATATAATCTTGAGCTATCTTTCATGCTACAGAAAATCAGTACGACTTTAAAATGTTCTTTAACGGCCAAATATTAAAATTATCTTAAAAATTTTCACTTAAATGTTCTATAATTGCTAAACATTAAAATTTACTTAGAATGTTCACTTTTCTTATGTTTACTGAAACTATGTTTCTCCCAAAATATTTCATTTGGTAATAGGATTATTACCATAGGAATTAAAATTTTGCACATGTTGAGTTATAGTTCCAGTTCAGAAATTATCTTTAGCATCTATTCTCGATTAAGAGTTGGATTATGTTATTGAGTGAATCGCCTGTTGTTGGGTGTATTCGCTTAATGATTTATGAGCGTAAGAAAAAATGAGGAATATTTTTACTTTTTTGAATTATAAATTTTGCTGAAAATTAAGGCGGAAACTTAAGCGCATTCAGAAACTGAAGATGAGTAGAAATCTAATGTTACTTATAGCAGTTAACAAAATTTTATAATTTAATTAAACAATTAATTAAACAATTTTAAGAGAGAAAAATCACATGCAATTACGCATCTTCTTTCTTCTAATCACGACTATATTGTAATCATAACAATATAATAATAAAAACAATCTATACTATTAATATAATAATAATGGACTACTTTACCATGCCTATATTGGTCATGAAAAATTAAAGATAAAATCTGTTCCTATTTCTAGAAATCTTTTCGTTACAAAAGCTATGAAATTAAAATTAACTAAATTTCAAGGAGAGAATTTTATACCAATTGAAAGATGACTCAGGGATTGGAAAGAAGGAAACCTGATGTTGCTTATCGGAAAATGCATGTCGAGAAAAAAAGGCAGATTAGCATATGAGAAGGTAAAATACGTTTTACCTGGGCTATTTAGACCCATCAGCGACCGAGCGGTAAAAGCCGCTGAACACTGGTAATTCGGTCCGGAGTTCGAGTTCTGGCAAACGGGTTGGCTGCATGGGCGTTTTCGTAGTTTTCCACGTGTATAACATGGATACGAGTCAGTTTCCCTTTAAAAATCCTCCACGGGGCATCCCTCCTTTGCCGTGTAGTGGCTGACGGCGAAGCACGTAGTAAATAAATTAGTAAAGTACACGGGTTGCTAAACATAAGCCGCACGAAGTTTAAAATACAGATGAAACTGGATTGTGTTGCAGAACATTACCAGAATATACATTAATATTTAAAAGTGGAACAGCAAGTGATTTAAGAAACCGAAGAATGTGGATGTTATTAACGTGCAATATCATCTTAATAAGACAACACTGGTTATTGACAAAAAGCTGCAAATATCAATATTTGCAAGAAGTCCAGAATTTACCTCTAGCTTGTAGAGACATTACGTATATTTTGGAAGCAGGCAAGATGAAAAATTAGCACAGCCTTCGCCGGGAATCGAACCACGGACCTCTGGATACCGGCCCAGCGCGCAGAACCACTACACCACGAAGGCACACTAGGAAAGTGGGAGAAATGCCTTATATACTCCCCCTTTTAAAGGGCGACTGGGTTTTCAGGGGATTCAATCTCCAAATCCTGGGTGAATAGAATCATCATCCAACACCCTTTTTAGTTCGGGCGCCACTGTAGAGACATTTAGGTATTTTTTGGAAGCAGGCAAGATGAAAAATTAGCAACTGCCTTAGCCGGGAATCGAACCACGGACCTCTGGATATCGGCTCAGCGTGCAGAACCGGTACACCGCGAAGGCACACTAGGACGGTGGGAGAAATACATTATAAGCTTAACATAGAAATAAGCACTTCTGGATGTTGTATTTTTCTCGATAATAAGTAGGTTGGCGAGTAGATTTTCTTTTGAAATGGAACGGAGAACTGAAAAAGGAAATATTTAGTTTTGCCAATTATAGCGCTGAGCTTTGCTGGATAGATAACTGTCTAGCACTTTTGATATCTTTCTAAAAACATCAGCGTTTCTTCCTACAAATACAACTTCTAACATTAGGCAATTAAACAGGGTATTAAAAAAGCTTGCAAATTATTAATATAGGAAAATGTTCAGAAAATGATGAACAGAAATTTTTGAAAGTGAATTCGAAGGAGATAAGCAAGACGATATGTGGGCTAAAGACCATGCACATTATAATCAGTTCTAGGAGATCAATCTCTTAACACAGACTAAACTGTTTTTTGAGATGTGGATTTTATGTAGAAGAAGCCTTGGAGAAACTACAAGCTAATGTTTCAGACATCAGTGAGGGAAAAAAGGAAGATTTATTTTTTGAGTATGTTTCAGTTGACAACATGCATAAAAATTGCCTGGGGTATTATGGAAAGGGCTAAAAGAACTGCAAAAACTGACAGTGAAAGCAGTAATGAAAAAAAAATGATGATATGTTAACTTCAATTAAAATCTAGAAAAAATTCCAAATTCTAAGAAAAAATCTTGAATTGAAAGGTGCAGATCAGAAAAGCTACCAGCAGTTTTACGAAACCCGATCGTTTTACCAACGATCAGTTAGGAAGGAAGGTAGGAAATTATACAAATAACGTTTCTAAAAAAGTTTCAAAATAAATTTCAAAACTGAGAAAATAATTTAGTTTTAGCAATAATTTTTAATTATTATTTTAGAATTAATTTTTTAATTACCTTTTACTAACCCAAATCGCCATCCATTGAATCAGCACTGAATGAACTCAAATATTTTTGGAACGGAAGTGATTTTAATAAGTGTCGGGTACTGTACATGACGACGAGAGGCTACTGAATTTGTGTCATTTCTGTATTTTCGAAGGGCCAGTTATATAGCAAAAGATAATATTAATCTAATCATCTCTCAGAAACCGGTGCATTGATTCTTTCAATCCAAAATTCGTAGGTAATTTCCGAACCACGCCCGGAAAATACTTTTGGTAGGATTCAGCTGTTTCATGCCGGCTCAAGAGAGCTGGCTCTTAAAAATTTTGTTGCGTGCGTACGGGTTCGTAATAGATAGAACGTACACAGCGCCGCTGATAAGTGGATAAAATTTACACAAAAACAGTCGTAGAACTCTTCACAGTATCACAATGTACAATCAGTAGCTACACTTCAAACTACTAAGAAAGTTAAACACAACGCAGTGCAAACCGTATCTAAAAGGCGAAACTTTCAAACTCCGAAGTCGATTGGAACTAACAATTCACAACAACTACTTAGAAGCTCTCTCCGGCCTTATATAGTTTCACCCTAGCCGCCAAAATATTTCTAGTATTTCTGCTCCTCGAAATTACTGGAAGGCATATGAAGGCTAAATACAGTTACAGTAACATATGAAATTAATTACAGTTATTAATTACAGATGCAGTTACATATACAGTTACAATACCTATTACGGTAATACAGGGACCGCACCAAAATGTCGCCAAGCGAACGCCAAGGTTAGCGACTTTAGGCGATTTCTCGTCAAATTTGGCGAAAAAATAGTAGTTACCAAAACCGTTGTTAGCTTGGCGATATCTCACCAAATTAGCGAGACAGCCATTTACTCAATGTTTAAATAGACATGCTCCTGTATCTTATTTTTACGGCAGAGCATCCTTTTTCTAGATTTTCATGTTACATTATACAGAAAAAATATAAGAATTACACACATAATCTCACTAAAATTATCCTATACGTACAAATTCGTAATATTATTTTTAGCACGGGGAGTCAGCTGTTGAAAGTGAATTGTAGTATTAATTTAAGAAGTTTATCATCATAAAGTTATAATTTTGCTACTTATTTAGGTAGTGAATCGGCTGTTCAATTTTTTGAATCCCGTCACTTAAGGCACTTCATCCTAGAGAGACAATAAATGACATTTATATTGTAGTGTCTCGTGCAGCTCCGGATTTCACTTTAGAATTGTAGACAAACGCACTTATTTTCTAGACTGGGAACAAAATTAGGGCTAAATTGAAATCTGCATACGAAGAAATTACACGCAAGCAGAGTGATTACTCCCACTTTACACTTGGAAAATAAAACTGAAACGAAACCACTCCTAGTGGTCCATATTGGATACTTTACTCAAGCGTAAGCATCATTCTCTATAGCGACCTTTCTCTCTGACGACGCATTTTCATTGCGTTCCCACAATAATACCTGAAATCTTCAATTAAATTTAATGATTGAATCAATTAGTATTAAATAAAGTTCAGTCTGTTTTTCCACTGCTAGGTAACAATGCTTATCTTCTCTACGGAAGAAAGCAACCTGAGGAGATGAGAAAAATCAGCAATGCCCTCTCCGAGACTCGAACCACGGACCTCTCGAATACGTGCCGAGCGTGCTGACCACTACACCACGAAGGCGTGCTAAGAAGGCGGGAGAAATATCTTATATACTCCCCCTTTTAAAAGGCGACTGGGGATTAGGGGACATAATCCACAAATCCTGGGGCTGGAGAATCATCAACCTCCACCCTTTTAGTTCGGGCGCCACTGTAGAGACTTTAGGTATTTTTGAAGTAGGAAATGAGACAAATGAGCAATGTCTTCACCGACACTCGAGCCACGGACCTCTTGAATACGTGATAAGCGTGCAGACCACTACACCCCGAAGGCATGCTAAGGAGGGGGGAGAAATACCTTATAAAGTTAAGTAAGTAGAAACTACTTTTCTTAAATATTTTTATGTAATCTCCTTTTAACACTTGAGAATATCATTATCAAGTCATGTTCTTTTTGTTTCCTTTTAGAGAGTGTTGTTTATCCAGACTACATCATAGAGTTAGATCTGGACAATCCGCGTCATTACATATCCAGTCCTGGATTTCCGTACAAGAATTATCCGTCTAATACCCAGATAATTTATAAAGTTAAAGTAAGCTGCAGTTCCGTAATTTGTATCGCCATTTTTATAATTGAAAATAATTTGGGTTCATAGCTTAAGTTCCCTTAATATCAATCACTGTTTATGCAGGAAGAATGTTTAGAATGATACATATAATAATTTGAATTAAAGATGCTATGAAAAATTCTAACTTCAGAGGTTTCTTTATAGGAAAATGTCTTATACTCATATTCATACAAGAACACCCCGAAATTCGTTTTTAGTCATTTTTCCTGAGATCGAGCTGGCTCACCAGCCGAGCGCAAAGTCATTGAAGACTGGTAGTTCGACTCGGATTCAAACGCTGGCATGCGGCTACCTTCGTGGATGTTTTCGTAGTTTTCCTATGTGTAACATGGATGAAAGCCATGTTACACCTTTGAAGCTCTTAGAAAGTCCTGGAAAGTCCTCTACAAAGGCATCCCTCCCGTTAGATAGCATGCGAAGGCTATCCTAACGGGAAGATAGCTTTTCTTTTACTTCACCGTAATCATACAAAAATAATCAGCCTGACATCAGGCCACTGATGAAACTCTCCCCCCCCAAAAAAAATTATTAACACACAGTGCAATACAGCAATATTTAAGGAAACTTTTGTTAATCATAATGCAGCTTTTAAAATCTTGAGGATATCTTAATTTATCTTCGTTTCTCAAACATGCGTATTACAAGTAAAAAAGAAAATGGTTCTTATCCAAATAAGAGAACATAATTAAACTGTACATTCCGCACTTCGATTCAAACAAGAAATACATTGCCTTTCTATTGATTGAAAGAGAACCTTAAGGAATTATAGAAATAATAGTACTAACATTTTTTCATATAGTAGTGTTCGAAATGACATACTCAACTTTTGTGAATTATTTCGTTTGTAACTGGTTTCTTTATATCTTATATTGTGGTCTCATTTTGCTTTATAACTGCGTTATCCATTTTTTGAATAGCAACAAACATTTTCGTTTGACGCTTTCTTTTGATTTTTAATTTTAAGGTTCAATGTATATTTAAAGCTTTGTAATAATTTTAGTCAATTCAGTGCTGCCAAGAGACATTCATAGCACTTTGATATTTAAAATATTTAATTACTATAATTACTTGTTTGATATTTGGCAGTGACTTCAAGCCCAATATTTTTATGATTTGCGCTCAAAATTTCAGAAACAAATTGTTAATTGTGAACTTATTAATTAAGATAAAACATGTGAAGTGCAAATGGTAGAGATACTTTCATGGAGAACTTTCAAAAGAATAAATTTTCATATTTATATCGCACGTGAAGGATATTGTGACAATCAAACAATCATCTCGTTCATCCACTAAGACCGAACTCGGGTGCAGAGTAATAAACTTCAATTGATATTTGAATTGTCTCATTTTTTCATGAAGAGAAAGATTAGATTTAAAGCGAATTATAAGATCCAGATGTGTGATCATTTTCTTTTTGTATATTCATTAGTAAACAGAGTGAAGGAAATTCGCGAACCGCAACAAAATATTTAAGCTCGTGCCTCGATTGAAAAACTCCGAAGTTAAGATAGAAGAAACACACTTTTTAAGATATGCTAGTTCGCAATAAGCTTAAATTAATAAATTTAAGACTATTTACATTGAAAGAGCTTTCAGAATCATTAGGGATTTCGATGCAGGAAACGTGAATAATGTGCAATGCCCTCGCCGGAATTCGAACCCTGGACTCCCGATTGCAGGTCGGATTTTCTATCCGCTTACACCACGAAGGCACGCGAAAAGGAGGAAGAAAATACCTTATAAACTGACTCGAAGAACTTGGGAACTATATTGGTGGCGGAAATTAAAGGAGTAATTATAAAAATAAATAAAATAATAATAATATTAAATAAAATCTAATGAAATTAGGTAGGTGTGTAGTGTATGGTCAACAACATGCACTAAGTTAAATGGATTCGAATTTTCTGTGTAACAAAATTATTAATTATTGAACCTGTGCACTCAGGCATTTAAAAGGAATATGCCAGCCGGTGCATCTACGAATTATAGGGCATGTGTGGTGTATGTAGATGGTGAAATAGTATATTTTTGAAAAGCATTCTCTTGACTGGGAAAAATGACACGTGATCGAAAAGCTGGATAAAATCTGTAAAATACAAATACTACTTGGTCCACATTTATATGGATATTAAAAGTGCTCAAAATATGTTCTTTCGAGAATTTAGAAATGATTTTAAGACGTAAGGGACCTGGTTAAAGTATGCAGAGAACACCACGTTTGAAGCTGAGTTATTAATTAAAGCCGAGATCGCTTGGTTAACTAATCTTCCCCCCCTATAAATTACGAAAGGGCGTTATTAATTTCATAATACGATTTGCCCCCTGCAAATGCGTCGTTTCACTCTTCATTTCAGTCTGTTGTCATTCAATGAAATATAAGATATTTGTCTTTCAAATTTAATCTGTCTATTACTGATTAACCAACTAAGCTATTCAAAAGCAATAGAGGCAGATCTGAAGAATATTATTTTTTACTAATAGGGTTAAATTAAAATGCATTTAATTAATGACCTTTATTCTTTTGTGAAATTTATAGAGGTTTAGTAGTAGTAACTTCATCCTAATGAACAATAATGCTCATCATTTTGCTCCCTGTTTGTAAGAGATTATCGCAGAAGCGATGAGACCAACCATATGGCATGAACTGCATATATATCTTGTGACTGAACCTAAGGAAACGCATTAGGATGTCAACTTGCACCTCTGCAGTTCCTACTGAATACTCTGCAGAACCTGATTCTGCGCGAAAACGCTTTTTTGCGGGGAACCTTTGATAGTCTTACGAAAAGCATGTGTGTGTGTGATTATGGCAAAGCCTCGAGGGCTATCTGCCTAAGGGGAAGGATGCCTTTGTGGAGGACTAAGAGAAACTGGCTCGTATACACGTACACATGGGGAAAACCACGAAAACGCCCATGCAGCCAGCCCGTTCGCGGGATTCGAACCTCAGACCAAACTACCAGTGTTCAGCGACTTTACCGCTCGGCCGCTGGTGGGCCCACTTTGTTATGGAAACTACTTAAAAATCATTCTGAAATATGGATACTTCTCTGTTAGGTGTATCAATTGATTTTACATTAATTGTAAGGAATAGGATGAATCGACAGATCTGAAGTCTTGTTAAACCAGCAAGTTAAGGCGCCGTATATCAGCGGCCAATTTCTGAACGGATAAAATTGTATTTGCCATTTTGTCTGAATCTGTGAAATTATATTTAGGACCGATTTTGAAGATCACAGATTTAGCTGTTTTTAACTTCGTCGTTATCAATTTCGAGAATTTGAATAGTTTTTTTTTTTTCATCCTTCATTAAAATATTTGAGAAAATAAGCACTCCTCAGTTTCTCGATAGATCCCATCTAATACCCATTGGAACTGTTGAATATGGTAACTTAATTTTTAGGTTTCAGTGAATAAGATTTTCGTTCCATATTGTTTCTCCACCACTAACTTTTAAGATTTGAAATCAGTTTTTATTATATTCCCAACACGAATTTCATGTTCTCAAGCTGGAAAAACTGTTTCTATAAATATCTACAGTATATATTTGTTTCGAACTTCGTACACAAGCAGTTCAGTGAAAAATGTCAATTTACCTGTTGAATAATTAAATCTTTTCTTTATTAAATAAGTGCAAAAATCTTCAAGTGGCAATATATGTTAAAATAATATCATAGCGAGTTTTTTTCTCTACCGTTTGTCACTGCTGTTTTCAATATCTCATCTTGGAAATATAATTTTTTATTCTTATTTTATTTCCTTTTATGTTATCTTGAATTTTGGGGAATGAAATTTTCAATTAGTAGACCTACTGTAGTTTTTTAGTTTAAAATTATTTCAGGTTATTGATGTGGAATCTGAATATAAAGATCATATGAGGATCTTCTTGTTCATTAAATTTTATTTGTACATCGATATATCTCTAGTACTATAGCAAGACTTCACACATGTATAATTATACCTATATGCTAAAGCGTGCCTTGACATTTTAAGCTAGTTTTTAGGTTGTTCGTGTTTGTATGCAAATAGTGATGGACTATGGCCAATAGCGCGATGAACATTATGAACTGGAAATCCTGCAAAGGAGTTTAATTGTGTAACTCGCTTATTCTTTACACTTACTCTTTCAGGAACGGACAGTGATATGACACTCTCTTTTATATAACTCCCTTTTTCGATATGTATATTCGGACCGAACTACCAGTACAAAATGCATGAAAATTTGATGTAAATTTTGTATTTCGGTCATGAATGTCCATGCATTATATAAATTGTCCACGAAACTGCGCGATATCCTTAAAGTTTTCTTTCTTTCTTTCTTTTTTTTCTTCTTCTTCTTCTTTTTTTTTTTTTTTTTTTTAAATTACAGACTATAGCAGTGTTTTACACAGAATGGTGATTTACTAAAACTCGTGGCTTAAATATAATTCATGGCTATTTACACTTTTTTAATGGAGTAAAAATTTAGATTTAATTTAATAAGCCCTGCTTTTAAAAGTATTCAAAATATGTATACAGTTATTTTTCGACACTATAGATAGCATGAAAATACTGATTCTTTTCAATCATATGGCCTAACAGCTGCCAACTTCAGATTGCTACTTCGACGTCAGTCGGGACATTTGTCTTTGATGGATCGAAGCGTCGTTAGCTGTCCTAGCCATGCAACATAACCAGGTACAGCTATGTATTTCATTTACCATTCATGTAATACGATAATGAAAACGGTGGCCTTACCCTTGCAGAGATTCTTTTTTAGCCGAAAAGTCAGTGTAAAAATCATCCCATCTTGGAATTTGAAACCAAGACTTCCTGTTTTATCCGGTTAGATGACTGTACTACAGAAATGGCCTCTACAGCCAATAAATGGTTTCCGATAATTTTAAGGGCGACTGGCTTGACCTTGATGATATGATCTGTAATTACCTTATTACTGGATGGCACATGTAATATGAGTGGATATGCCGTGTTAAAAAAGTAGTGTGAAAAATTTCATTGTTCATGATGCAAGACTGATATACACTGGTGTGCAAAAATTAAGGACGAGACGGTTTTTTTCAATATAACTTTGTACAAAAGCTTTCCAAATCAACACATTTAATACCGTAAGATCCCCAATACGTAAGGACATGAGTAATGTAAGCAACACTTACTAAAAGAGAAATCAGAGGGATAAAAAGAAGCTTTATTGAAAAAGTAGCATGGAGCGCAATGCGACTGAAGGCCGAAACATCCCTCTGATGGGTGTCCAGCAAGAAACATCCGGTCTTTAATAGGGGATATGATCTCCCCTGACTGCTAGGCAGGTTTCACAGCGTCTGCCCATGCTGAGAATGAGGGTGTCAATGAGTTGTTGAGGCATTGCTGCCCATTCGTCTTGCAGCGCCAATCGAAGCTCAGGAACCGTTACTGGTGGTAAGGTACGAGCTGCCAAGCGTCTGCCTAGTAAATCCCATACATGCTCGATGGGATTGAGATCCGGAGATCGTGCCGGCCAATCCATACGTTCAATATCCTCACTCTCTAAGAGCTGTTCGGCAACTACTGTGCGATGACATGGTGCATTGTCGTCCATGAAAAGGAACTGCGGAACCATAGCGTCTCTAAAAAGACGCACATATGGAAGAAGAATCTCGTTACAATAACGGGTCCCGTTGACTGAACCTGCGTCGAAGATGTGAAGGTCTGTACGACTACCAAGCATGATGCCTCCCCAAACGAGAACACCGCCACCTCCATACCTGTCCCTTTCAATGATGTTCGAGGGATGATTGCGGCTTCCCCGCTCTCTCCAGATGAGTATGCGATGAGAATCGCTATTCAGACTGAATCTGCTCTCATCTGTAAAAAGTACTCGTCCTCATTCATTGTCTCTCCAATTCCGGTGTTCCCGGCACCACAGAGAACGCCTTCTCCGATGGGCAGGCGTTAGAGGTACACACCGTACAGGGCGTCGTGCAAACAGACCACCACCGTGCAGTCTTCTGGCCACGGTAAAACGCGATATCGGTCGTCCAGTGGCCTGTGTCGTGTGTCTAGCGATTTCTCCCGCTGTCTGCCACCTGTTTCTTCTGGCCTGTAAGGCAATATACCGGTCATCTGCGGGTGTGGTTCCTCGTGGACGACCACTACTAAACCCCCGGATAGCTGTTCCTGTAGTTTGAAATTGTCTCTAAAGTCGTGAAACGATGCTGTGAGCAATTCCGAACTCTTTAGCCAAACTTGTCACACTGCGGCCTTCCTCCAACTTCCTAATGATTCAACCTCGGGTAAAAGCATCCAGATGTCATTTAACAGATTGATTATTCGCCATTTCTCGCTGAGGCAGCAACTCGGTGTGATTTTAACTGCTATACGGCGTGCAATCTCTTTCCCAGAAATACTGATCTTACACCGACAACATGCTTTATACTACTCAGACACTCCCCCATTACGTCTACCTGCATATCTGCGCATGTTTTTCCGTACATCACCTTACTTAATCTCCTGATTGGTCTTTCTGTCCGCTCTGCCTCTTCGTTCAGCTGATATGCTAATTTTTCGACTTCGTCCTTAATTTTTGCACACCAGTGTATTTTATTTGAAATATATATTTGAAGTATATACTAGTAAGTTATACTCATAAAAAGTGACGCACCAAGAAGGAGATATTGGATGAAATTACGTATAAAATACCATACGACGGAAGATGCAAATGATTAAGTTTTGATCGCTAATGACTGACTATCTGGAGCTCCAACTTTCAAAAAAGCATTCGGATGGTGTATAAGGCATAATTTCTATGGGAATGTAGTAGTATCAAACCTCGTGGATTGTACCAAAGCTTCGCAGATGGGTTCGTGCAGATGTCTCCATCTGAGAGGAAAGGACGTACAATTGGACTAAAGGAAACATGTTGTCAAATGGCAGGATCCCTAGACATATGCATCAGCGCTACTGTCATTGAAGACTTTGGCAGGAATCGGTGAACATGGCGTCAAGAGGGTAGCAGTCGTCAGAGAGCGAAGACAGAACGCGTGGACAGAGTCATTATCCAATCGGCGCTCACAGCCCTTCATGCTTTCTTATCAACATATAACTCGAAAATCACTGACTTCCGCTTCGAAAAGAGCCCCGATAACGAAAAAGATGGGTCTGGAAACGCAAAGGAAAGCGGTTGAGTACTCATCTGGCTGTCGTCCGAAATCAGGAATTGTGGTATAAGGTGCGATTTCATTTGATAGGCGGACCCCTCTGGTTGTCATCCACGATCCCTTACATCACGGCGGTACGTCGATGGGATTCTACGCTCCGTAGTATTGCCCTTCCTTTCGTGAACTCCTGGGCTTATACTTCAACAGCATATTGACCGCCTTTCTACTGCTTTCCTTTGAGCTTTCCAACACTTCTCTGGCCGGCGTGATCTTCATATCTCTCCGCAATATAGCATATTTGGGTTCCGAAGAGCAGGCATCTTCGACCGTTCCTCGACCATCCCGATCTAATTCGTCATTTGGAACGTGTATGACAAGCCATCTCGCAGGAGAATATCTGTTAACTCGACGTGTCTGTGCCCAACCTGATAACAGCTTGCATCAGGGCCAGAGGTAGGACAACGCACTATCGATTTGTCGTCTCATTCCGTTAACTACTTCTCATTGCGCCGCTTTTTATGTTATAGAGTGCATATTACAGTGAATGTTTAGATTTGAACTTTTGTATTTAAACAAAATATAGGCATGACATAAGTAAGTCCATCACTTAGTTAAACAGATGTTTCAATATTTAACAGCATAATTTTATTTTTAGTTAAAACTTAACGATGAAGTGAAACAGCTGAGCAATCGGATATTACTAACTTTCGAGATGTTTGCTTTGCAAGGCAGCCCATTTTGCACCAACGACGGTCTAGAAATTGCAGATGGGAACGGACAAGTTAGAGTGTAAGTAATAAAAGATAGTAAGTATGTAAAGTATTACATCGAGATGGGACGTGGTTTGTGAATCAATCTTGCGTTGTAGCCTTGCAAATTGTCACAAGAAAACACCACAGGAAAATTAATTGTAATACTCTTTTATTCAGATCACCGTACACTAATTTACACAAGAAATTTATTCACGAGACATTACATTAGGGTAAAACTCTCACAATTTACTTGAGGACAGCTAATGCTCCGATTAGAAATTAAATCTAAGTGAAATCAAGTATTCGATTTTAATGGAATAACTAAAATTCATGAAGAAAAATCTCAATAAAACTTAGTATTGGGTAATATTATGCGGAACTGCCAGACTTTACGCTTCTAAAATATAACGCAACTTTTTTTTTATTAGGTATAAGTTCAAAATTTAGATTTCGAAAATTATGAAAAGTGTGCAAACTGTCTCTGTTATTAAATAATGAAGAATCTGTTAATACGTAGGTTTGTATGTATGTGTGTTTGTATTTATTTATGTATGTTTGTATGTATAAATGTATATTCTTTGCCTTGTACGTAGAGCCATTAAAATTTGATAACTTATTTTCTTCCACCCAAACATGTGGGTCCCAAAGTCCGAATTTTGAATTTCGAATTTGTCTTTTATTTATTTCTCATTTTGTGCGAGGTTAAGGAACGTTTTGTATATAAATTCAGATGTTTAAAAGGAAAAAGTACGATATTTATGTTTCAGTTTTGATCAGAAACTTAGAACTTTAAAAGAAATCTGTTGCCACTGCTTAATAAATATTTTTATCTCCCACGCTCCAGTATATTGCCATTCAGCAAAGTGTAAGATATTTGATTTTTCTCTCATATTTAATCTGCACTTTGTTTGTTAACAAACTAAACGATTTAAAAGCAATAAAAGCAATTCTTCATCTGTTTTATTACTAATTACTTGTTGGAGTCATTAAAATCATTATATACATTTATCAGGTTCAGTATTTCTCCTTACTGGCTTTGGGAGCATTAAATGACCTGACTCGGAACAGGGAGCTTACTAAAGCTATGTTCAATAAATGTGGGAAGTATACAAGATACACAGGAAGGGTATACGAAACCCTTTATTTTTCTCTCTTTACAATGATTTCCGGACTTCGGAATACAGAGACCAACCACTTGTGGTCTGAACGTAAGAATATAAAAATATTAACTAAATTCTAACTAAACTAACTTTGGATTAATAAACAAGTGGCTACTTGAAGATTGGCCGTAAATTAACAGGTGCCCGTCCTTCTATTGGTCAAAGAATTGGGAAAGCAGTATAAAATTCTGGTACATTCGGTATTCTTTTCCTCCCACCCAAATACTACACACGTTTGAATTTCTGTCAAGATCTTAAAAATTTGCATTCTCGTTCTGCTTGGTCAGTTCATAGTGTTTATTATGATCGTTATGCTTATATATGAGTATATGTATGAATGTTTAATAACATAGTTTGCAGTAACTGCTGAAGTATAGATAAACTTCAGAAAATGGATGTGTTTTAACACAGATTAGCTTTTCTAAGGAATTAATATTCGAAATGGCATTAATTAAAGTGAAAGTAATCAAATAGTCAAAATAATTTCTTTTTTTTTTTTTTTTTTTCTTTGCCAATGCATTATACAGTACGGAAGTTGGGAGGTTTTCCCCTTTCTCCGCAAAATCTCGAATATTGCAACCGTTACAGTTCGCAGCAAAGCAAGCAACAGACTTTTTTTTTTTTTTTTTTTCCCCCCACTTTCCAACCTGGTTTGGATAGGACTAAAAGTTCTGCGGTCTACGAACCCAAGCGTAATTGAACAAGCAATAGAGCAGCTGCTGATTCCGATTGCATAATATCACATGCCGAAGAATTAAGTCATACGTATTGCGCAATAACGTTTGGGATATTTCAGCCGAGATTTGTTTATGAACACTTAAAAGAGTTTTACTGTGCTTGCTAGCAGAATATTTTTTAGTTCCGTTTATATGATGCACATATCGAAATGTCAAAAGCATTTTTTTAGCGGGAAAATCTAAAGAGCGGCTACAGTCTACCCCCCTACCCCGCTCCTCTTTTTCAAGTTACGCTCGACTGTCCAATATTCGCCAATTTCCAAGTATGCGGGTTAGTTAAGCTTTTATTGTTAAAGGATGACTGCATGAAGCAAATTTCTGTCTTCTGATTTCAGAAATGTTCCTCTTTTTTACTTAAATTACTTTGCTTGCAATATCTGTTAAGGGCAAACTGATATACAATGAAAATTTAGAAAATGTTCAGAATTTAGATTTAAATTATTTAAATATCAATATGAGTGGAAAAATAAATTGTATTTATTATTAGGTTCCAAGCGAATACAATAAATATGCCTTATTTATTTTCTCTATATTTGAACTGAAATTCATCATTAAATCTTGTAATATAGTTTAGTTCTGATATTTTTTTTTTTTTTTTTTTTTTCCCTCTCATTGTAAACTAGTTCTGTAAATGAACTGTTATTAAAATTAAAAAAAAAAAAAGTAATTATTTTCCATGGTTGAGGTAATGCTTATTCTCTCTTAATAAATACTGCATTTCTCATATTTAAATTCAAGTCTAATTTTTAAGGTTATGCAGTTGTGATGATGTAATTAGACAGGTGCTTATTTTTTTTCTTAAAATGTGCTTGAAAAGTGCTTATAGGTGCTTATTTTTTTTCTTAAAATGTGCTTGAAAAGTGCGTATAGGTGCTTATTTTTTTAACTAAAATGTGGCTATGAACCCTGTACATATTTCACCATCCTTTAATTGATTCATGATTGGGGCATTGGCATCACAATGAAAAACGTGATTATATCATCTTCATTTACTACCCACTACTCTTTCTATCATCTCATTTACTACATATTCTTACAAATCCACTATTTGAAAAATTTCGCCTTTGGTCTGCGATATCCAAAAACCTTCAAATTCGCGGCTATCATCTTCGTCATCGTCGCAAGTTATACTTGTCGCTAAATTTTGTCTTGCTTCTGTCGTGCACTGAGACAGTTAAGCATAAATAGTATTATTTTACTTATTTATTATACTAATGTCTCTTTCTTGCACATGCTTAAGGTTTATCCGAGTCCTGAATAAATAAATTCCCACATATACTTATGGCTTATCGAGGGCCAGCGCTAGATATCTTACCGCCTGATGCAGTCTCTGGGGGTCCTAAATTCTGCTACCAAGTGCCTCTCCAAGTTCTAAATTTTTGCCGACCCTAAATTTTGGGTTCTAGTGCTTTCTCTCAATTCTAAAAATTTTGTCATTCCTTAATTTTGCTGCTCGGTGTTTTTCCCTAAATCCTGCCGGCCGGTGCAGCCATACGAGCTCTGGAGCCGGTTCTGGGTTTTCTTGAATAAATAATCAGTTATTCTGAATTCAGATAGCACTAAATGTGATCTTTTGGCCTATGAGTGTCATTAACAAAATCTGTTTTTAACATATGGAAAAAAATATTATAAATTTCCCCTAGTCAACATTTCATAGCGCATTTAACTTAAATCTGTAATCATTGCCAAGCGTAATGTCCACTTACTCTTTGTTATTCAATTACTAATATAAAAAAATGCTTAGGCAGCACTGCTTGAGTCATTACTCAAATGGATTAATAAACATGTGATAATGAAAGCAAAATATAATAAATAGTGATTTGCCAGGTTGGCGTCAGGGATATAAAATATTAGCAGATGTAAAATCAGCGATATTTCTATATAGAATATTTCAGTGTAGAATTCTATGTAGAAGTCAGTGCAGATGTAAAATCAGCGATGTTTCTATATAGAATATTTCAGTGTAGAATTCTATGTAGAAGTCAGTGTTTCAGTGTAGAATTTTATGTTCAGTGTGTATTTTACGTAGAATATTTCAGTTTGAGATGTATGCCAAGCAGATACGCAGTGATGAAGCCAAATTATTGATCACACAAATTTATGCTAAAATGTTTGTTTCTTCAATGAGGAAGTGTTTTATTTATTGAGGCCGTATGTAGTACAGAGAACTGTTAACACTACGATACGTTTAAAATTATCAAGAGGATTACCCCTCTGGCCTTGAAGGCAACCAGCAACCGAGTAAAACTGCTAAGGCAAGCGGCCTGCTTCTACTAACTCCTTCCTCTCTCTTGCTTGGCAAAAAGCCGCAACTTAAGGACTTGGCGTTCGCAAGACAAATTTGCATAAATAAGTTAAAAGCTTTTAATTCTGGCCGGAAGTAGAAAATATGAAGTGATAGTAAAGATTTAAAATAAAATAAACGTTAGTAAAACTTAAGATCCTTACACATATTTTTCTGCTGTAACTGTTTTAGGTGTTCGGCTGCACGAGCGGCTTGAGGGGAAGGGGAAAGAGAATACTAAAAAATAGTAAATGAAGTTAACAAAAATTTATTTTTTAATTTCTGTTTTATACTGAGGAATGAAACCGCTGGTCAACCGGTCGTAGTGGTTAGTAACATTGATTACCATACCCACAGCTTCGGGTTCGAATCCTGGAGAAGGCATGGATTTTTGTAAGCATGTGGATGATTAAAAGTAGATCAGGAAGGTCCTCAAAGTACGTGATGGTACGGATGTTCACTCGAGAAGCTGGCTGTTGGAGAGGAGTGGCCGGAGACTTTCGGACCGAACCCCGAGAGTTTCTTCCTCAAAACTGGGACGGAACTTCACAATCAGTGCGGCGGGATTGTACTTGTATTATTGAAGTACAATCAGTAATAAATTTCTGATATCCTGCCCATCTCTCTACCTGAAGAATGAAACTGAAAATTTCAACTGAATGTTCAAATATTCTAAAGAACAAAATTTCGAAGAGAGCCTTTGAAATACTTTACTAAAATTAAATCGCATGTTTGAAAGAAGAAGGAGAATCATGGAAACAATATTTCTTTCTTTTTTCTAAACTTTTCCTTGTCTTAGTGCAAATTATTTAAATTTTAAAAAGCGAGAGCAATTCTTCTGCGGCTCGAGGGTGGA